AGGTTGCCACCTCCTAGATGGCTTAGTGGTGGTCTCCGTTGAAGCACGCAAAGAAGATTATGCGGTGCTCTAGAGAAGCGATTGTGAGGAGGATTGTGCTCACCCCGCGGGAGCCATGAAGAGCAACTCTAGTAGAGCGAGACACGAAAGGCGACAAGTGGTCTAGCCGGGTCAAGTGCTAAGTGTGACTTGTGTGTCACCACTAGCAAGAGGACCGATGGCAACCTTGGAGCTTGTCTCAATAGGGACTAGCGTGTTGGCAAGCACGTGAACCTCAGGATAAAAATCATAGGGTCATCCTTGTATTCCCGTTGGTTTGCATCCTTGTTACACAAGCTTGTATTTACTTCATTTATATTGTGCTTGTGTAGTTGCTCTTGTAATTAGTTAGCTTGTGCATCTCACTAGTTACCTTCTTGCTTATGTAGCATAGAAGTAGCTCCCTTGCATGGCTAATTTGGTTTGTGTAACCTTGTTAGTCACATTGCTTAGTTTGTGTAGCTAAGTATTTGCACTCTCTAATTTAACATTGGTTGCCTTGTTATTAAGCATTGCTAGTGAGCTTAGGAGCTTTGTGCTTTTGCTCACTAGATTGTGTAGAAGCTCCCCTAGTTGTGCAAAGTACTAGTGCATAGGTTTGTGTGACCTTGCTCTAGAATTGATTAGGTGAGCTCTAGCTAACCCAGCACCTTTGTTGCATAATTATGATATTTATAAGGTGCTTATGAACTTAGATAGAGGGGTGTAGTCTTAGCTAGACCGTTAGTTTTAATTCCGCATATATCTCGGTTAGCCGACGCGTTTAATTTTAGAAAGGACTATTCACCCCCCTCTAGTCCACCATCTCGACCCTACAGGGGCCCACCGATGGAATCTCCATCGAGGAGAGGTCAACTGGTCACCCGAGTCGATCGGACGGCTCAAGCGGCTGCCGAGAGACAGGTAAGGAGTAGTGGGATGCCCCATGTGGGTTATGCCAACTTCGTCACGAACGAAGGACCCAGATTCCACACGGACATATCCGATAGGGGCTCCCCGAACCCGTCACTCGAGCCATTGAGGTAACTTTACCAACCCCCGTTCTACTTTCCCAATGCATGATCATTCATTCATCCATTCTCATGCATGCATTCATACATTCATCCATTCTCATGCATGCATTCATACATTTATCCATACATTCATCCCATACATCCAAGCATTGCATATGCAATTGTTGCATCACAACGCTTCGTGTCACGTCACGAAGCGGTAGTCGTCTCATTCGATGTGAGCGGCAACCGACCGGGGTTCGAAGGCTGGCCCACGAAGGGCTTGAGGCCACCTCGCGTCAAACAAAGCAAGGGGAGAAAACGCAAATGAGCCCCAGCGGCCTTCGCCTAATCCGCTCAGAAAGCGAACAGGGTCATCTCGACCTTCTCGTTCAATCCTGACCTCGAGCCATGCCCATAGAATCTCCATTGAGGGGAGGCCAGTGGGCCACCTGAGTCGATCTCTGGAATGGCTTGGGCATCTGCTAGGAGGCAGGTTAAGGAGCAGTGAAATGCCACATGAGGGCTATGCCGACCCCGTTACGAACAACGGACCTGGATTCCACTCGAACATACCCGTTAATGAGCTCATCGAGCGCGTCACTCGAGCCATCGAGGCAAGTGACGTTAGCTCAACCCCTCCAGTTGCGGAAACTGCGGATGGGGTGACGCACGAAACTCGACCGACCCCTACCGAGCCCAACGGGGCTCAGGCCACTCGACCCTGACTCGGGAGTCTAGCCGACCGCACAGGTTGCGGTCGAAACGAACACAGGCGAACACCCCGACCGGAAGAGACACAAGAGTTCGTAGCCAAAAAAAGAGTACCAAGGTGCTCCGCCTCCGACCGACTCCCCAGTCGGCCGCAGGCTCGGGGGCTACACCCACCGGGTGCGCTCGCACCCGGTGGAAAATGGATTACCAACGAGTCTCCTCCTCAAGGGCTGGGCACCTATGTCTGCACGGCGGGCCTCCGTGGCCTTCGCTAGTCCCTTCCTTAGGGGCTGGGTGCCAATATCCCTCCGATGCACCTCCGTAGACTTCGCTAGTCCTCCCCATGGAGGCTGGGCGCCCATAGTCACTTTGCGCGCCTCCACGACCTTGGCCAGTCCTTCACATGGAGACTGGGTGCCTAAATCCTACTTGGTTACCCTATGCGGTACAACAAACCAAGAGGGAAAACACTGAAGTTCCAATACACAGCCCCTTCACAACTTCATAGAAGTCCCAAAGGGACTCGGGGGCTCCTGTCGGGTTCATAAACCCGGGGTCCCCAATAGACCCGCTTCCCAACAAAACTTCATTTCAAAGAAAGCGGTGCAACAACAAAGACACGCTGGGTTGGCTGGATACACAATAATGAGTCAAGACCATGATCCGGTCTCTGCTTTGCCTCCCGCAGGTGGGACGACGTCTTCCTAGCGAGATCTCAGTAGCTACGGCCGAACGACAAGCCTCCATCACCTAGTGCGTGGTGACTGCTCCGTCTTGCTCGACCCCTTGGGTCAGTGCTTTCGCCTCGCCCGACCCCTTGGGTTCGAGCTCCGCCTCGTCGACCTTCCGGGTCGGGGCTCCGCCTCTCGACCTGGGTCGGGGCTCCACCTCGCCGACCTCTAGGTGAGCCCGGACGGAAGGCCTAGCTGTGGTGGAACTACAATCCGACTCACCCTTTTCTTCGACCGAGGATACGCTGGGACCTCCTGCTCGCTGCTTTTCCCTACCGACGCGGTTGAGGCCAATGGGAGCAACCTGACCGGGAATGCTCGGCGCGGTGTGGGCCTAGGGAGTGCGAGTAGATAAGATAAGGCACTCAAGTCAACCGTAATACCGATGACCGTAACCCACCATGCCCTGCGCAGACCAGAGGACGGTGCGCCGCTGTGGCATGACAAAGTAACATGGTAGAGCTCGCCGGATGCGTCGAGCATAGACGCAGTGTTGTTGTGGCCGCCGGCCGCTTGTCGATCAGGCGAACACAAGAGAGCCTCGCCAGACGGGCAGCGTAGGCATAAAAAGATTGTGGGCGCTGGCGCCATCCCTGCATCCCAAGGCGTGAGCAACAAGACTAGGCAACACACGATACACTCTTTTTTTCTCTCTCGACTTGTAAGGCCATCTCTTTCAACTATAAAAGGGGATGCGCTCTCTCCTGTAAAATGATTGACTCTCTCTCTCTCGAAGACTCTCTCGACGACTCGAGAACACAATAGCTCAATGACTCTAGAGACACACAGAGGATACGCTCCTCCGTGGGGCCTCTAACACCCCTTCTCATTCCTTACTTGTTTGCAACCCCACAAAGAAACTTGAGCACTGGGCTCGGGAATAAAGTCACCGACCGGCCTCAAGCTCGGATGTAGGGCTGTTGTTCGAACCAAAGATATAAATCTGTGTCATTGAGTGTTAGGCCACATCTGATCATAACGTATGGCAAAACTATAAATATTTACTTGTTGGTCACTTTTCGCACCGACAATATGTGTACAACCATTGCAACATGTGCAACATCCTGATCTACTTTTGCAACATCCATATAAAACATTTGCAACATACCTCCGAAACACCTAAAATATATGCTTGCAATATGCGGTTTCAATACAACATCTTCTTGCTGCTTGAAAGAATGGAGACTCATCGGCGCGTGGAGTTCACCAGTGTAGAGCTCGTTGGTGGCGCGGAGCTCGCTCCACCGGTGGAGAAGGCCATGGCAGGTTTCCACACTGTGCGGGTGGAGCGTGAGCTGTGCGTGGGCGAGTTCCATCGTGGCCATCGCAAGTCGTGCACGGCGAAGTTCCACCCAGCCCACGATGGCGAGTCAAGCGAGCAGCACGAGAGATGTGGCAGAGACTCGCCGGCCGCCGTGAGTCGCACACGGTGAGCTCCACCCCGTTCTTGGCGAAGTTAGGCCGCCTCCGCCCTGGCCGAGATTAGTGCGGGCGGCTACGGCGAGCATGAGCGCGGACGGTCGCGGCGAGCACGGGATGAGCACGGGCGACCTCCGCCCCGGTCGACCGCTGCGAGCTGCGTGGATGGAGCGTATGCTATGAGCGGTGATTTTTAATTAGATACTTGATGCAAAGCGGATAAGAGGGCGTCATTTGAAAGGTGGCGTCGTGGTTCACTCAATGAAGCGTCCGAGGTGGGCGGACGCTCTATTTTAAGAATTACCGTTATTTGAAATATTATGTGGAAATATATGCTTAAATTTACATGGGATAAATATAACGCACACGATTACCGAGAGTACAACGAATAGGGTACTGTAGATATTGTTCGGATAGAGCAATAGCACCGTTTTTGGGGAGAACATATATCCAAGAAAGAAGATGAGTTCCAAAGGTGCCTGTGAGACAACAATCAAGTATGCGTTAGGCGGAGGAACTCTCCAGAAAGAATGTCGGCTTATAAACCTTTGCCATCAAAGCAGAGGAAACGAATCTTAATATAGAACGTATCACAAGGAAGAGGTTCGAACCACTACGTCAAAAGTCAATCAACTGCTTCTCTCGATAAACCACCAATTGCTAAAATTTAAAGAGAATTAACAGATCTGATTAAAGCAAACTTTTATTGACCCTTCGCGATGCCGGATCCAATGTCACCGAGGTAATCGAGTAGGAAAGACCTCAGACATTATTTGGACGCGTCATCATGCCCACCTCCCGGGTTAGTGGACCGTATGCGAGGAGGCCTCCAATTCCAACTCCAACTCGTTAGATTGCCACATAAGCACCCGTGCGTTCACTCCACTCCGCCTTGGGGGAAAAAAAGAAAGAAAAACCAATCCTCGCCGCCGAAAAATCCACGGCTGAAAGATCAGGCCGACGGCTTTCCATTGTGCGTCCCGAGGAGATATTATTTTCCGTTCCGTTTCTCCCGTCACAAAGCTACTCCAACAAACTGCTCCGCTTTCGGCACCAGCCCAGCGGAGGAAAGAGTGCGGATTGCGGCGCGCCGGCGGACGAAACAATGGCGCCGGCGAGGGACGAGCATCTGGACGCGATTCGCGCGCGGATGGCGGCCCACTCGCCGCCGCTCCACGCGCTGGTCGTCCCCTCCGAGGACGCCCACCAGGTCCGTGCCGCGCCACTGTCCCCCGCCCGCGCAGATCGGGGGTGGATCGGATCTCCGGTTTGGGGGTCCGCTGGGCTAGCGTTAGGGTTTTGTTTTTTATCTGATCGTTCTGCGGACTGATGATGGCTATGGATTGTTTGTGCAGAGCGAGTACGTGTCGGAGCAGGACAAGCGGCGGCAGTTCATCTCCGGGTTCACAGGGAGCGCTGGTCCGTGCTGACTGAATTCATCCATCTATCGCCTAGTTTATCTTTGAGAGGATCATGTCCTTCCTATTTTTCTACTTATAATATAATTAGGTTCATGTGATTGTGGTATGGTTAGATACTTGGATTAGCTCTTAAGGCAAAATTGTGTATTTGTGGAACCAGTAAGGAAAAAAAAAACAGGCACAAGCTTTTTTTTTAAAAAAGTAAGCACTTAGCATGACATGACAAGCTATGATTGTGCTTCTGCCATCTTGTTCTCGACAGGTTAGCTCTTTCGCAATGAAGTGCTGCAAATTGTTCGATCCTTGTGGCAGTGTGGCCAAAATGGGGCTTGTGATTTCTGCAGTGTGAACTGATTCTGCAATTCTGCTACCATTTAGTTGCAGAAATTACAGATCAGCTAGTACAACTAGGTTTATATGAATCTTAAATGGCCTCATAAAAAAATCCTCTGCTTTTGGTTTTGCATGCATATTTCTTCTCAAGGTTTGTAGCATACAAATTCAAATACTATGAAACCTTTGGAACAATCAAGGATAGTTTTAGATTTTTTGTCACTAAACTGACTAAAGGATTCAGCATGGGGCAACTGGTTATTTTTGGGATTATTTGTTAGTGTTTGGCAGAAAGAAAACCTCATCTTGGGTATTAAATAGATAAATAAATTGCATTTACAGCTGAATACTGAGTTTTCTTTAGAGACAACTCCATGTACAGAAATATTAAGATGCAATGGATAACCAGTGGAGTGTTTCATTTCTCTTCATGTAATCATTTTATGATGAATTTGAATGTTCTTCTGTTCTGTTCCCACATTCACAGCACAACTGCACAAGGGACTAATTTTTAAAGTTCCAATTTACATGGTAGGCCATTCAGCCATTGGAGTGCCATGTTCCCACATTTGAGTGTTACTGCTACCTTGATTCTGTAATTTTTTAAATGTAGATTATATGACCAAGCATATTATTTTTCTATTTCTTTCTTTGTGCTTTCTTTGCATATAAAGATACAATATTTTCCCCCTAAAAGAACTTTGTAAGCGAAATGATTTTGATTATATTCTTATGCTGCCATATGGGAAACTAGTATTTCCTCAAGCTTTCAACAAAGGTACTACCTCCGGTAACAAAATTCTTGACGTTTTGCACAAGACTCAAACTTTTGAATTTTGCAAACATGAAAGTTATATATGTTTCGACTTTGCTTGAAAGGTGCTTCCATAGTAAAAATTTATAGAATTTAATGATTGATTTAGACAAGAATGTATCTGTCTCACTGTCTATTGTTGTGACAAGTCCGTAGCTGGACGTGAACATGGAGCAACCTCCTCTAATCTTTTATGTTATGTGATTGATTCGTACTTTGTGTTAGCATTTGGTTTTGCTAAACAGTTTGTTGGTTGTCGCGTTGGTTTCTCAGTTAGTGTGCGTATTGAATTTTAAACAGGCTTGGCTCTTATTACCATGAAAGAGGCATTGTTGTGGACGGATGGACGCTACTTCTTGCAGGCGACACAGCAACTGAGCGATCGTTGGAAACTAATGCACATGGGAGAAGACCCACCAGTTGAAGCATGGATAGCTGATGTAAGCAGTGACTTTCCTTCTGCAGCAAGTTTGTGATGACCTTCTAAAGTTCAACATAAAAGCATTGGTCACATGAGTTGTACTTGGCAATGCTTGTGCTTTATCTTTGGTTTTGAACTCGTCCATGCTACTGTTGTTGAGAAATACAAATATGGTTTCCTTGCTCACCTTTCTTTTTTTGAATGTAAACCTTTGTGGGGATACCAATAAGATATACTTTTTTTTTGGTTACGAGTAGATTTGAATTTCCGCCTTTAACTGCTTTGTTATATGTGAGTGGAAGTAATTTGATATTTAACTGCTGGCAGTTATTTGTCCCAAAGTCAGACAAAATATTGACACTGTTAAAACCTTAACTTTGTTCCCATCTTGTTGAATTTAATGTTGCTACTTAAGGTTTTCCGGTGTGTTGTGCGAAAATCATTTTAAATTGTTTTGGTGATTGAGTAATTTTTTTGATCTTCTGTGTGGAATACTACTGTCCTGGCTAATCTGTAGAATGTTGTTGTGCTATCAGAATCTGGCTGATGAAGCTGTCATTGGAATCAATCCGTGGTGCATCTCTATTGATTCGGCTCAAAGATATGAGCACGCATTTTGAAGAAGCACCAGACTTTGTTTCAGCTTTCTTCTGACTTGGTGGATGAAGTATGGAAGGATCGCCGCTAGTTGAACCTAGGCCTGTAATTGTACACCCAGTAGAATTTGCAGGGCGAGTGTACCAGAAAAGATAAAGGAGCTGAGAGAAAAGCTTGTACATGAAAAGGCTACTGCCATTATAATAACTTCTCTTGATGAGGTACAATACATTCTATTGAAGCTGTTCAATTTCAATTTTTTTGTGGGAGTTACCATGGTTATAATTTCCTTTATAGCCCAGTGGTTCACTCTTAGTTGTTGTGTAATGGTTGTTTAGGTTGCTTGGCTGTACAACATTCGAGGAAGTGATGTGGATTATAGCCCAGTGGTTCACTCTTATGCTATTGTAACATTACACAGTGCTTTCTTTTATGTTGATAAGAGAAAAGTAACTGTCGAGGTCAGTTAATTAACTAAGGACATATCCTTTTTCTAATGACTATCATCTTATAGTGTTAATATGCATGGTTCTGTAGTTATGTAATGTAATATATTTGTTATGTGATTCTTCTGTAATGCAGATTCAGAAATACATGTCTGGAAATGGTATTGAAATAAGAGAGTATGAAACTGTTCAATCTGATGCAAATTTGCTTGCATCTGGCAAGCTACAAAGTTCTGTGCATGTGGAAAAGGATATGAATGAGGTGGAGAGTTCAAAAATTTGGATTGATTCTGGCTCATGTTGCCTTGCACTCTACTCAAAGTTGAGTCCACATCAAGTTTTGGTGCTGCAATCACCAATTGCTCTTCCAAAGGCTGTTAAGGTGAATTTGCTTTCTTCTCTCTTGTGCTAGTATAGTAGTGTCAATATGAATTTGCGTGGAAAAGCATCTGTGAAACTTTCAATAATTGAGTACAATACTTAGTTATTTATCACAAATCCGACTTTTCTTGTTAGATCAGAATGATTACAGTTACAGATTATGGAAATCGAAATTGAAGAGATCAAAACATTACTTATGGGAAATGTAAATATATCTCACTTGAAATATGGTTTAGTAAAATATTATAATCATTAATCACATGAAACTATGCCCCAATATGCCATGCTATAAATTCTGATGAAGTTAGGTTGAAGATCATGGTAAACAACCATCTATTCTGGTGAAGAAATGATACATAAAAAAGGGCAGACCCAGTGCCGGAGGCTCCCACATGAGTGGGGTGCTGGGAAGGAAAAACCAGGCAAGCCTTCCCCGCAAAATCTGCTGAGAGAGGCTGCTGAGCAAATGCTTTATGTTAGGACTTCTTAGAAACTGCAGTGATCACTTATATAGTAGCAATTTCTAGCTGATAAAAAACTATAAATTGGCTTATTGGCATTCCATTCTCAAATACATGTCACGTTAGAACTCATTCTGTCTAACTTTGAATTGTTTTTGAAGATCATCTGTATTCTGTGGTATTAAAGGTATTAAGACAGTATTGTTCAAAACAAAAATAACAAAGAACATTACTATACGTGATGTGATGTAATTGCTGGTATTCGATCGCATTTTGAAAGCTTCATTTATGGAAGAATAGAAACATAGTATTTGCACAATGCATCACAATGAATTTATTTTGTGTTTTGCACTTTCTTTCCTTTTCATTAGTGATCCACAGATAATTAGCTTTTGAAACTGTAACTCTTGGAATTTAGTATTTTGTTTCCTCAATTTTTCTTCTTTGCAACAATGCTGTAGAACCCCACAGAACTGGATGGATTGAGGAAGGCGATATTAGAGATGGTGCCGCTGTTGTACAATACCTTGCTTGGCTGGATAATCAGGTCCGCATAGATTAATGTCTCATCATACTGAAATATTGCTGAACAGATATTTGAATTTCATATATACCTGAAAATGTTTTGCATCTGTACTCTTCTGGTATTACCAGCTTTATTTGCATTTTTCAAAGGACATCTCATTTCGCAAGGTTACTAATTATCCTCTGTAACGTAATAGTTGTTCCATACTAGTTCTGATGTTCTTTTCCCCCTACCAATTCAGATGCAGGAGAACTATGGAGCTTCTGGTTATTTCAGTGAGATAAAAGGGTCACACAAAAAGGAAAATCTGTGAGTTTATCTTATTATATTGCACTGGTTTGTTTTGGGCAGCATATTATCTATCATGTGGAGCTCTTGCCTACAAATGCATACATACCATTAGATTTGCTTGCTTATGCACCATTTTTTTAAAAAAAAAAAAAAATCTTTTTTACAAGACTCCAATGTACATTTTCATTATTGTACATTTGTGTCAGACTCGAATCGAAATTTAGTTGTTTTATAATGTTTGAATATATTTTCTGTCTGTAGACCAACCAAACTTACTGAGGTGTCTGTGAGTGACAAACTTGAAGGCTTCCGTGCAACAAAAGAGGTATGCTACAGCAACATCATTTCTTAAAGCTTAGTTAAAATAATTGCCTAGATGTTTCATTTAAATCTGCTAGGTATCACTTCAGTAGTATTTGTAGAATTTGCTAACACTGGGTTCCAGTACTTTAGCTGTCTCTGTTCGTGTTCGGAATCAACGATAAATCACAAAACTTTTTCTTGGCTTCATTTGTCTTCATTTATTATGGATATTTTCTATTCAGTAAAATAAAAGCAAAGCATTGGTGTTGGACTTTATTCTCATATCTTTTGATGTTATATGACTATCTAAATGAATTGCTTTGTAAAGGCTAGTGAACATTTTTGCCTTCAGTCACTTGATGCACTGCAATGTGTGACAACTTAAAATATTCCTGCAGAATCTAAAATGAATTGCTTTGTAAAGGCTAGTGAACATTTTTGCCTTCAGTCACTTGATGCACTGCAATATGTGACAAATTACAATATTCCTGCAGAACTTTAAAGGTTTGAGTTTTCCTACAATTTCATCTGTGGGACCAAATGCAGCAATTATTCACTATAATCCTGAAGCAAGCACATGTTCAGAAATGGATGCTGATAAAATATATCTTTGTGACTCTGGGGCACAGGTTAAGTATATTTAGTCCTTAACTGTCGCTTTATGTTATTGGATCTCTTTGAATCTGCTGACTTATTTCATTATGGTGTACATGCAGTACCTGGATGGTACAACAGACATTACAAGAACTGTACATTTTGGTAGACCCTCAGAACATGAGAAGTCATGCTACACAGCAGTAAGTGCTATCTTTTGAGAAGTATTTTTCTCCCATCATTACTTCAGCCATATATAGTTTCATTTACCACAGTAATTGTATTATTCTTTCACTAAGTCCACCAGTTTCAATAAAACATCAGTTTCTGACAGACTGGGGGATAAGAAATGAAGGATTTACAGTACCACACCAGTTTTTCTTACTCCGAAAGCCTCTCTCCGTCTCTTGTTTTTCTTATGCTTTCTAAAAAGTTAGCAATATGGCTGAATCAACCAGCTATCTTTTTTATGTTTTTTTTGTATCTGTCTTTACAATGAACTTCACCATGATGCCTGAATTTATTAAAATTCATGTTAGATTTATTTCCACTTTAGTTTTTATTCACTTTGTTCCCTGTGGTTGATTCCAATACTGAATTGCTTAATGTTGGAAATAGGTCTTGAAAGGCCACATCGCACTAGACATTGCTGTGTTTCCTAATGGGACAACAGGTTAGTTTGTTTGGCTCTTTAATCATATCCATGCAAGAAACTATCTGCAGAACTGTTAGAGAAACATGGCTGTAATATTGATGAAGTCACATATTTATGGTTGTTTTGCCATGGTTTTAGCGGTTTACTACAAACTTAAAATAACCATTACTTCACAGTTGGCATTCGAGTAACAAAGGAGCTTAGATATAATTCATATCTCATACAAATAAATTGATTGGCCTGATCTTTGTGTGTATGTGTGCTCAACACTGTATTAAGTTATTTTATATCAAATACTCCTAAAACCAATGTATATGCAGCAATTTCCTTTTATAGGTATAATTCAACGAAAGTCTAGGTGAGAATATGGCACGAAGGATTAGTAGATTGACTATGAGGGTACGAGGTACATGCATATATAATATAGGCAAGGATGTCGATGGTTAAGTTTATAGAAACGGGACCATATCCTTGCCTATCACCAACCACTAAGCAATCTACCCTGGCGCTGCTGCTATAGATGCGCTATATGCGTCTGGGCCTGCTGCTGCTGGGCCAGCGTAGGAGCACATGGGCCAGGGGGGCATGGGCTGGGGCGCTGGCCAACATCTGAATGGAGCCTGCCCATGGGTTGTAGGAGGGCCTGGAAGCCTCATCCACAGGGTAGGTGCGGCCCGTGGACACACATTTGGTGATGTACCTTGAGCCAGCGAATGGTGTGCTGCCGCCCTGACCACCTCGACCAGCGTGTCGTCTACGCTAGCCCCATTTTGAATTGGGGGTTGGGCAGCTTGCTGGGTGTACCCCCAGAGGGAGAGGCGCCCCTGGGGTTGGGTGTTGGCGCTACTGGGAGGTCAGCAAGGGAGTTGTTGGCAGTGGTGGCGACATAGGCAGAGGGGACATAGAGGGACGATTTGTCACGTGTCATCCGGATTCCTGAGTTCTTCAAGGAGGTCTGCCCATGCCTCGAGGAATGTGGGGAAGGGGCGCGCATGTCGGAGCTGTGGACCAATGGAGGAGAACGTCCTGTTGAGGAGCCGTACGTGTTCGCTGAGGTTACTGAGCATCAGCCATGCTCTTGAACCATCAAAAATGTTCAGTGACAGATAGATTGCCCTGAATGAAGTTCCTAATCTCAGCGTCGTGGTAGAGGGTGTGAATCTCCCCGTTGTGATGAACTGATGCTTGAGGGCGAGCCAAACATTGCGCATGGTGGTGCGGGGTCCATCACCTTCTCGACGATGTCGGTGGAGATGGTGCCATATATCTAGGAGAGGATGACATATAGCCCATAGGTGCCCAATCCGGCAACGCTGGATCAGGGTCGTCGCCCAGGACGTGCGTTGAACGGGAGAATGGGTGTGAAGATGGAACTGGCTGTGCCAGTGCTTGTTGTTGGAGTTGATGTTGAGGATGATACTGTTGCCGAGCGGCAGCAGCCTTGCGCTTGAGTTTGGTAGCGGCAGCATCACGTTCATCGGCTTCGACACACGCTCGCGCTGCAGCAGCATCACAATTGTGCGTAGCTTTGATGTGCCGTGTGCGTACTTCGGTGGTGGTGCATTCACATGCCGCGGATGCCACACAATCTGCTTCCTTGCGTGCAGAGGCCAGGCGCACTCTCTTGCCATCCCTGGCCATGGGCAGGGAAGACGCAGAGGCGTTGGGTGCAGCAGAGTGGGGTTTTTTTTTTGGGGGTAGTACATCGGCATAAAGGATTAGTAGATTGTACATGCATATATAGGCAATGCTGTCTAGGGTTAAGTTTAGAAACTGGACCATCACCAGATATCCCAATCACTAAGTGCATACGACTCATTGGCTGGTGCAGCATAGTACTCGTGGGCCAATATACAATACAACACAGCCTAACTGCATTTCTAACAAAAAGTCATAATCATCCAGTCTGAACTGTGATGGATATCTCATAAGTAATTTTGCTATACTGAATTCCTTAAATTTGCAGGGCATGCTCTTGATATTCTTTCACGAGCTCCACTCTGGAGAGAGGGACTTGACTATCGGCATGGTACAGGCCATGGAATTGGATCTTATTTGAATGTGCATGAAGGTCCGAATGACTGTTTCCCCTTATATTGTCTCAGTTCATCTAATTGTGTAACTACTCTAGAATGATGAAGTAACTCATTTCTTGCTGTGGAAGCAGGTCCTCATCTAATTAGCTTCAGACCTTCTGCTCGAAATGTACCGTTGCAAGCATCCATGACTGTGACAGATGGTCAGTAGATATCTAGCTACAAATTTGTTTAAATTATTTATGGTTTGCTGTCAAGTTTCTATTATATGCCAATGTTGATATTCTTATCAAAGATTTTTACGGACTCACAATTGCATAATCTTGTAGAGCCTGGTTATTATGAAGATGGGAGCTTTGGTATAAGATTGGAGAATGTACTTATTTGCAAAGAGGCCAATGCTAAATTTAATTTTGGAGATAAGGGTTATTTGGCATTTGAACATATAACATGGGTAAGCATTTATTCTTTGATTTCTTTCTTCGATGTGACTAGAGTACCTGACTATATTCAGTCATGCACTCATGCTTGATATTACTGTTACATGATCTTATACCCACGTCACTTTTATTAATTCTCTGAAGTGCTTTTGTTCTCCATTTAGTCTCCTGCCTAGTTTTGGATTAGATTTTTAGGGCGTGTTTGTTTGCCTGGACGAGGACCAGATGCAGGCTCGTGGGCTGCAGGGGGCCATGTTTGTTTGCCTGGACACGTTTTGGGCCTGGCCAGCACGCTGCTTAAAGCAGCTGAGAGCCAGGCCCGGGGGAAACGCCCCTCCCCTTCGTTTCTCCAGAGCTCGGCTGGCTCGGTGCGGCAGCGACGGTTCCCTTCACCTCCCAAGTCTGTTTCCCTCACCCACCGCACATCTCCCACCCCCCACGGCGCCCTGCTCGACGTAGCAGCGCGCGAACTCGGCTACGGTGGTCGACGGCCGCGCTCGGTGACGTGGAGGATGAAGGAGATGCGGCCATGGACTGCGGCGGCAAGGTTGTCCGTGAAGTAGACGTGGCGCTGCTGTCCGTGAAGGAGACTTGCCGCGGTGGTCGAAGGCGAGGCTCTCAGGGCCGAACGCGGGGCGGCCAAGGCGCACGGCGAGCACCACAGCGTCCTCAAGCGCGGAGCACCCGCCCTGCGCCATGTCGGGCGTCATGGGGTGGAACGCGTCGCCGGCCACCGTCAAGGGCCCACGCGCCGCCACGCCTAGGTACTTTGCGGGCATGTACCCGCCCAGGTTGTCCGTCACCTCGCGCATAGTCTTCTCCGGGTCGGCGGCGGCTTCTTTCTCTGCAAATGCAGGCAGCACGCGCGTCTGAGGCTCTGAGCTCCTGAGGTCTGAAGGACAGGAACTGAAGGGTGGACTACGGCGGCAAGGCTGCAGCCATGAACGGCGTGTGCCTTCAACCTGTTCGTAGAAATGTCTGAGAGAAGAGAGAGGAAAAAAATTGGGGGTAACTCTACCACATCTTGCTGCAAGGTGACCATATACCACTGTCCAGGCAAACAAACAGGATCTCTAACCAGCCTGGCTCTGCAGAGAAATAGAACCAAACAAGCAGGTGTTGCACCTGCTGGGCCTGTCCCCTGGCAGCCTGGCTCTCCCCGTCCGATCGGGCTGGGAACGTCAAGGGAAACAAACACGCCCTTAGTGTTCGATGAAATTCATATGCTATATACAATTGATACAGTAATGGATACACAGCTTTCCGAAGGTTCAGGGTTAACTAGAAACCATAGATCTCTAATCAGGAGCATTTTTTTTAATGAAATCTTCCTAAAGATGTCGTGACATTCTAGTTAACCTCAGAACCTATTTGAAACAAAGGAGGGATTTTTTAGTAATGTTAGTGTCATAGAAACAGAGATTCCTATGTGTCAATGGAACGAAGAAGCATATACGTAGAAATTTATATGAAATGGATATATCCAGAGGAACTTGGGAGGAAAATCCAACATTAGGTTTAGATCTTTAGGAAGTTTCATTTGTGTATGTATCAAGTCGTTAATCATTTCACCGGTAATCAGCTCACTTTACCCCTGCTTAGACTAGTTTTGCTAGATTGGAAGCAATCCCTTAGTTTGTTTCTCTTGTTTTAAACGTGGGCCTCAAGTGCGAGGTTTACATCACCTCTCACTCATTACAAACTAGTGATATTTGTGTTCCCAAAGAAATGCTGCATTCATCTGTTTGTTAAAAATACAATGCAGTGCATCATTTGTTTTATTGGCTATTGATGAATTCCTTCTTTGTTTTTGTCTGTGTATGTGCAGGCTCCGTACCAGACCAAACTGATAGACACCAAGCTTCTGACTCCTGTTGAGATCGACTGGGTAAACACATACCACTCAGACTGCCGGAAGATCTTGGAGCCTCATCTGAACGAGCAGGAGAAGCAATGGCTGATGAAAGCCACTGAGCCCATAGCTGCAAGCAGCTGAGCCTTTTCGTCCAGGTTGCATGTCGCGATGGCAAGGCTTATTGATCACAACCAGTCCTCTCTGCGCTGATCTTCACATCATCTGTGTGGCATACGCTGTGCGTACATAGATTGGCTGCCCCCGCTGGTTTGTAAGCTTAAATAATAGCGGCGAAGGAACAGGATATAGCTTATCCTCATCGTTGATCTTTGCTGCGAAAGTGGAGTGTTTGGCTGGAATAAAGATGAAGGCAGAATGCTATTTTTTATTAAGTTGATTTGTACAGTTATTTTAGAAATCGATTTGCAGTGAATAATTGTTTCGCTCAATATCCGATGGCCTTCTTTGAGGCTAAATCTCATTGGGAGAGCTTCGGCGTTGCTGTAATGCTTGCAGTTTTGCACTACGCCATCCGTCCATGCTCATCGATTCTCTGCGAGTTTTTTCTTTTGTGATAAACTGTTGGTATTCTTACATTTTTTCCCCTCTATGGACAGGAAAAAGGGGGCTCAGCGGGAGAGATTAGTATTCTTATTTTTTTTTCTATTGTATCATGAGAGAGGAAGAACCGCATCAAATATGGAACATGGATTTTGGCAACGCCATTGAATTTGGGTACTTATATATTGATCTAAATTTGCCTTTTAGGCAAGAGGACAACAAATTCATCTTTCTGTACGGGCTTTGCGTCAAATTATTCATGCGGTCAGGTATTTCTTCCTGCTGGTGTCCTCACCATACCAGTGATCAGCTTTACAAGGTACTCGAATATTTAAAGAAAACTCTGCCGTGTTTATATCCATCCATAGCACATTTTGATTGCTTCGATTACCATAACCCTTCCTCTCAGTGCTTTCTAATAGACATCCCTGTAGGAAGAGAACATCAAATTTTCTAATATGCATCCCTATAGGAAGAGAACATCAAACTTTGAAAGACCTCCCACAAGTGAATCTTGATTCTTGAATTAGAAAATCAGCTAAGCCTTAGTTGGTCACTTCAGGTACAATCATTCATAATCCATGTAGTAAGAGAACATCAAACTAATTGAATGGAAGAAATCCCACAAGTGAATCTTGATTCTTGAATTAGATTATCAGCTAAGCTGGACATCAATAAACCTATGCATATATAAGCACGCAAAAGCTGCTGCCGCCTAGGGCCTTCTATCGACCACCACTGCTCAGTCCCCTCCTCTCTCCCTCTCATGACGACATCACTGACAGCCAAAGGAGCAAGGACCCACCTCTTTCCTAGATTTAATTTCTTATAGATTTTGTTTTCATCTAAAGTTTGGTTTCATGGCAGCATTGTCAAGCTGGTAGCGACAATGATGCATCCAAATAATGTCTCTTTTCTTCCCTACCTCGATGATATCCGATTTGTCATCGATAAAGGGCCAATGAGAGCTTGCTTCGTTAAATCTGTTAGTTCTCTTTAGATTTTAGCAATTGGTTGTTTATCAAGAGAAGTAGTTGGTTGACTTTTGATGCGGTGGTTTGAACCTTTTCCTTGCGGTCTATTCTATATTAAGATTCGTTTACTCTACTTTGATGGTGAAGGTTTGTAAGCCTGTATTTTTTTTGAGGAATTCCTCCTAGCACTTAGATTGTTGTCTCACAAGCACCTTTGAAACTCATCTTCTTTCTTCCTTTAGACGAACTAGCAAATATGTCCGTGCGTTACAATGGGAGAAAAAATGTCAAATGTTAATGAGAAATTATGACAATGGGATCTCCTCTCCAATCTTCTCCACCTCAGCATTCAGCCTACTTACAGCCTACTGTTATACTTCTCTGATACCACTGGTTTCACGAGAACCTGCCAACCAGTGGTCTTCCACGAGAACCTGCCGAAACCAGTGGTATATATCGGTGAGTATTAATGACATGCGGCATCGAAGTCGCATGATAATACCGAGTCAGAGAGTGCGGTCGGAGCAGATGAACAGCACGCCGGTCTGGCCCGTCTCGCGGCTGGCCGGCGGTGGAGGGATCTCGTCGATGGTGACGCGGACGCTGAGGGCACGGAACGCGTGGTACACCATGCTGTGCATCGGCAGGAGCGCGCCCGCGTCTATGCGCAGGCACGCGAGCAAGAACCCGTTCAGGATCTAGAGCACCGTCGTGGAAGACCACCGGTTTCGGCAGGTTCTCGTGTGGCACGGGCCTACGCTTGTTTGTCGCCGGCACAATGCAACCTTTCCTTGCATTTTAAACCTCGCCGTTCATAAACAGAGTGGATTTTGGGTAGAATTCTAGCTATTACACCGAGCTCGTCGCTCGTCGCCGCCGCCTCCGGCACAGCCGGCCGTTCTAGCTAGGTCCATTCCGTTCAACCTCCCTCTTCCTCTCTCCACGCTAGTTAACGTTGGCAGCGCTCAGATTCGCCACGGTTCTCTCCTTCTGGGCCACCCACTCTGGGCCGTGATAGCGCCGGTTGGGCTTTGCTTCCCTCCTGGGCCTTGCTTCTGGGCTCCTGCTTCTAGCGTCCTTGTTCCCACCTTGAGCTCTCTTCACGTTCTTCTTACACCTATAGTCTTATATGCCAAAATTTTATTTTCATACAGTACATAAACCTCTGTCTTCTATATGCTAGTAACTAAAGTTTCTAATTGGTTTATACATATCTTTTATGGTTTCATTCAATTTTCCTGACAATTTGATATTGTATTTTAGATATGACAACTATATATGTAGCCTAGTAGTAATGCATTTGCAGTAAAAAATCTTGTGTTTTGTTGTTGATACAGTGTCATGTGGAGGCGCCGTAGGCGCATGGTGACCGCGTACAGCTCGGGCAGGAAAAGGCTCCTTGACTGGGCGATCACCACGCATGGCTGGGATCTGCGCGCTATCTGGAGCACGCCTTGACTAGGCATGATCACTGCATGGCTAGGAGTTTACTTGGCTGCATGGCTAGTAGTCTGTTTGCTTGGCTACGAGTTGTTTACTCGTCAGTTTACTTGGCTGCATGACTAGGAGTCTGTTGCTTGGCTAGGAGTTGTTTACTTCGTCATTTTAGGCCTAGCATCTAGGAGTTCCCATCTCTATTTAGTCCTGTAAGAACGGTCATTAGAATTAAGCAAGAACAATGACCCAATTTCCCTTTGCTGCAACAATCGGGCGCCGAGGGGTAAAACCTAGCCCAACCCTACGGATCGAGGCTATGAACTGCATAGCCGCGGTCCAGCTACCCTAGGGCCCAACGCCCACAACATACAGGATGTGACTTAGATCGTGGTGAATACATGATAGATGTTAATTAATCTTGTGTTTTGTTGGCGGTACAGGATGTGACTTGTATCCGAATCAGATGGTTACACAACTGTGCAATGCAACTTATAGTTCATAAAAGAGGGGCTAGGTAGATTCAAAAACTCATATTTAGCTTTGTCTGTTGCCATATGCAAACATAAAACTCCAGTATAAATTGTTACACTTACAAGCAAGTACAACTCTTATTCACCCTGTTCGCTTGTTGGTTTCAGCCAGCCCAAACCAGCTAGCCAACAGTGTTTTCCTCTCATAATAAACCAGCACCAGCCAGCCCAAACCAGCCCAGAAACCATAACGTTCATGGCTGCCATATACAAACATAGATCTTTTCAAAAGTCTCAGGTTAGACACAGTTTTCCTTTAATTTGTTTCAGTTCTTTGTTTAACAAATAGTTTTCTTTTGTTTCAGTTCTTTGTTGATCTGTACCGTAGTGCAAGCTCCTCACATTTGGTACAGAAATATCTCAGGGTGGTCCAGATCACTTCATAGCCATTGTATTCCGAGGAAAGAGCTATATGTCCATCTGCAAGCTTAAATCTGTTCATCATGTTGATGTAAATCTATTTCAAAGACAATTTCAAAATAAAGTACACACATCATCTGAATACTGCTTTTTGAAACATTCAAATTGTTTACTACGTGTAGGTGTCTAAGCCTTTGTTGAGATGGATTGCATTTCAGGTACACAATCAAGTTCCATGCCACTCGGGGGGACAAAGGTGAATCTGTTAATTTGTCAGGTACACAACTGAATTGAGTCTGAGGTCACAATATCAAATGTAGTTTAGTACAACAAAGAAGCTCTGGAGTTATTTGGTAGGACCAGTGGATCTGTTCTGCCTCACACCCATGACAAAAGACTGTGAGATTGAGATTAGGAATAAAACCATTAAAAGATTGAAATAATATTCCTCCAGTTTCTGAAATTACTGATTGTGGAGAATGCATTATCATAGACAAGACAGTCCTTCGAGGACAGGCGCCCCAAGCTCGGTCCAGCCCACGTCGCTGCCATGGACGGTCCAGGAAGGTGAAGAACGGTCTCAGACCTGAGGTTAGGATCTATTTTCTTGGTTAATTTGTGGATTTCCTCCTCTTCATCAACAAATGTAGGAAGCAGGGCTAATCTTAGGTTTTCACATGCAGTGCTTGTTCTATGGATTTCTCGGATTTCAGTTGGAGCAATCTAGGAGTAACTGGGTAAACAATGTCAGCATGCATTGGCCTTGATTACTGCACAACAAACTGCTGATGCTGCTGTACAAGAACAAAATGCTGCTGTCCAGTAAGAGAATGTTCCTGAACTGTCTACGAACAGGAGGCTTAAGACCAACTGAACTGTCTATGAACCTAAGAGCTGACATCTTTGGGACACATATGGTCTATGTATGAACTAGTGTTGTTTCATGTAACTGAGATGTAGACTCACTTTTATTTTATCCCTATCAACTGTTGTGTAACTGAGGAGCCAACTCAGATTTATTTCATCCCCATCAACTGAGATGTGAACTAATATCCTTATGGTTTCATCAATATTCTTTTGTATGTTCTCTGCATGTTCACAGGTTTACCATTGTATTGTTACTCTGGCTTCTTGTATGCTCTCTGAAGATATTCTTGTGAACACTCATACAAACATAATGCTAAAATTTGTAACTAATATTCAAGGTGCTGAAACATCAATTCCATTCCATAATGCATTAACAGACATTATAAGGACATAATGCCTCCCTTGTAGCTGG